TAGTCCTGGTTGCTAAGGCATATTCATACATTGCAGCTTGTTGCCCCCTTCATTCACAGCTGCAGTCTCCTCAGTCCAGCACAGGGGCTAAAATCAAAATCCCCAGGATGGCATGCAGCTTGTTACAGAGAAGTGATAATCTAGTAGGCAGCGTATGGACTGCACCTGGATCTCCTCCATTGCTGCTAAGACAGTTTCTGTTTGCTTGTATCCCACTCTTCTACCAAGGGCATATTACATGATGGAATTACCCCATTTATTATCACAACAAATACCGTAAGAGCCAGTTTGGTGTAGTGGTTAAGTGCGTGGACTCTAATCTGGGAGAACCGGGTTTGATTCCCCACTCCTCCACTTGCAGCTACTGGATGGCCTTGGGCAAGCCATAGTTCTGTCAGAGCTGTTCACTCAGAAACAGTTCTGGAAAGAGCTCTCTCAGCCCTACCTACCTCACAGGATGTCTGTTGTGGGGAGGGGAAGGGAAAGGAGTTAGTAAACTGCTCTGAGCCTCCAAGTGAAAGGTGGGGTATAAATCCAATCTCCTCCTCCTCCTTCTTCTTCCTCTTCTCCCAATTTATCTCATGGGGATGTTGTGAGAACAAAGTGGAGGAGAGGAGAACCACGCAGCATCTTCCTGGTAAGTACTTCTTGCCTACCAGTGTCATGTTTCAGTCAGTTCTGGGAACTAGGCCAACTGGTATGAACTGTGAGCTTACAATTCCCTAACTCAAATCTCATCCAAGTCATGAGTTTGGAGAGCCAGAATGGCTCATCGTATCCTACCTCACAGGGTTGTTGTAAGGATAACATGGAGAAGGGGACAATGTTGTAAGCCACTTTGGGTTCACACTGGCAAGCAAAGTGGGGTATAAATGAAGTAAATCAACTCAGTGGCTAGCCTTAAGTGTGGTACTCTCTTTTCTTATTGGCTCAGCACATATGTCTGAAAAATGGGCATAATAATTGCACAGGATTTGAAGCCTTTAAAAGCCCGTATACACGTGAAATAATGTTATTCATTAACTTTTGAATGTTCTAACTGTAGGTCATTGTTTTTTTTCTTTGTTTCATAGGTCACCTTACATTTGAACCCAATTTCTTCCATTCATATTCACCAAAAGCCGTTGGTGTTTCTTTTGAATTCTCCAGTGCCTTTGGTGTGGAAGGTAAAAACCGAAAGGCTTGCCCCTAGGATTTCAAGGTTTTTCTATGTAAGTATTCAGAGTTTCTTGATACTTTGTAGCCACTTCAAAATGCACTATATGTCATTGATGGTATTCATTTGGTAGGGCGGTGGGAAAGACTTTATGGATTTGCTCTTGTTGTGTGACTGTTGCCTTGAGAAGAATTCCTACTTTGAGAAGGGTGTGTGGCCCGTGACGTCTCTAGCCCTGGAGGACTCCATAGTGGTAATACCAAAGGCTCAGTAGGAAAGGCTACTTGCAGCTTGCTGGCTGTGTGGTCTGTAGCCTAAACACTCATCAGTTCAAGCTGAACCTCTTGAGCGCAGTAGAATGGTTATTTTTGCCTGGAGGCTTTCTTCAAAGTAAGGACAAAACTACTCCCAGAATGAAGTCACATATGCTTCTCAGATATGGGAATGCTTCTTCTGCAGAAAGATCCAGTTATTACCTACTGTTTTGTAATTCACATTGTCCTAGTTTGCCAGGATCTTCAATTTTGCTGTTTGTAGTGCGAAGCAGACTGGATGTTTGGATTGCATTTCTAGGCTATGATATCATGTCTCATGATGAATCCTTAAAGCTTCTCTATTTAACATCCTAATTTCAGAAATAGACACCACTGTTGCTGGCTGTAGAAGAGCTGCACTGAGCCTAGCTCTGCTCTATAAGACACAGGTCACAACATCAGCTAGTCTAGAATGAGTTGCCTTTTTCTCAAGTTGCATCTAGAACTCAGGGGGCAATCTAAAGTGTACTGAACAGATCTAATGTCTGTTACTAGTTGTACTCAGTTGTAAAAAAACAGACATAGTGTGGAAATCTTACTCATTTCTGTTTTACATATGTAGCATACATTAACTTCTATCACGTCAGCTCATCAGCCAAGAGAGCTGTATGTGGGATCCTGTCATACGGAGATGGTTTACACATGCTAGGGAGTGAAGTGGCAGAGGCCTGATTTGGTGGAATGGACTGTGAAACCTTAGACTGCAGTTCATGAAAGCATTTTGAATTCCACCCCCCCACCCCGGTATTAAAAATAAAAAAACAAAAAAACCTCCTTGCAGATAGAAATCAAGCACAGCAAGCAAACAGAGAATGGAGCCTGTCTTCCTGCTGTGCTAGCTTTCTATCTGGAGTTTTGAGTGGTTCTGCCCATTTTACCACTTTGGGATCTTGCTATCCCATTATCACCTCACTCTCCTGCAAGTGTGAACTAGGCCTAAGGACAGCTATCGGCTTCTTTGGCGGTAGTGAGATATCTTCCGCTCCCCCGCTCCATTGCCTACCGGCATCTGGAACACCAGTGGGAGGAAGTTCGTAAAAAATGTGGGTGTGTGCCAGTGTGCTGACATCACTTCTGTCAAAAACCAGAAGTGAGGTCACAACGTTGCGGAGGACACTCCAGGATTTGCAAGAACTTTATGGTAAAACCACCTCTTGAAAGTCCTAGAGTGCCCCCCAACACCATAACATCACATCTGGTTTTTGACAGAAGTGACGTCAGCATGCTGGCATGCCAGTCTCTGCCCCCAGAAGGCTCCCAGGGGTTGCCAGTTGTGGCCTAGGAACCCTAGGCATAAGACCAAATTAAAATGATTAAAAAAGCACAATATACCATCTTATTAGGATGTATTGTTTTATTATGCAAATAGGAGGTCCCATGTTTGTGCAGATGCTCCCCCAACATCTAGTTTACCCATAAAGAAAAAAGGAATTTTATCGCAAGCAACTTCTGTTTTTTGTGTACTAGAAATTGTTGATTTCAGAGAGCATTCAAATAGATGACCCCCCCCCCCTCCTTCTGCATTCTCAAATGGTAAGGGCCCAGAAGTGTTGTACTAAACATTAGAATTTAATCTGAGGTGGCCTTTTGATTCCTTCCAGTCCTGTGCTTCTGTGAAGGTTTCTCTTTGGCTTTCTCCCATTGTTTGTCTTACATTTCTGCAGAATTGTTCAAGGCAACTCACATTTACAAGATGTCCTTTGAATGGAGGTACATGACTAACGTTGTGTGTGGAATTTCTACAGCTGACAAACTACAGAATTTTGATCAATACACTAGCTTGTCTTTCATATTTAATGGCCATGTGACACCTCTGCATACACTCTAGTATTATTTTGGTCTGAAGTTTGGTCTTAAAGAATATGTAGAAAAGAAGCTTAATGCAAGTGTGAGGGACAGTAGGTTTTCCGATTTTTTCAGATCTATAGAATAATATTTCCTCCTAACTAGAAAATTCAAAAAATCTATGTGCAGTTTAGGGTTGCCAGGTCTCCTTTGGCCACTGGCAGGGTATGGAGGGGTCAAGTTGCCACATCTAGGTTGGAAAACTGGAGATTTGGGGGTGGAACCTGGAGAGGACAGGGACCTCAGTGGGGTACAATGCCACAGAGTCTACTCTTCAAAACACCCATTTTCTCCAGGGGAACTAATCTCTGTAGTCTGGAGATGAGGTATAATTCCAGGGAATCCCCAGGTCCCACCTGGAGGCTGACATCCCTAGTTGTAAAGTAGTAGTGCCACAGCTCCTTCAATGTGCAGAATAGAAAATTTGTTACTTTAGCCCTTTTACTAAAAATAATTTTGGCTTAGAAGTTGCCATGACCTAGGCATGAAAGTACATGCACACAGACATACACAAAAACCCACCAAAAATATTTTGGCTTGTAGGTGAAACTTCTTGTGTCAAACCACACAGGAAATTCATAATATTTTGAATCTTAATGTATGTTTTCTTAGTAAGATCCCAATTTAAAGATATTTTTTTTTACTTCAAGCAACTTCAGTGGCCAAAATAGAAATATTTGTGTCACAGATGCCGTATTAAAGGCAGAATTATTGTGTCTGTCTCTATGGAAGCATTCAATTAGGCGAGTCATAGAGTTCTTGGCTCATGTGCAAAGAAGCTACTTTTTAGGGGGGGTTAAAAGAAGTATTAACAGGTTGTGTAATAATGGAAAATAACTTTTCAGAAGTAGATCTTCTTTTAAAAAAGACGGAGAAATAAAAAGACCTGTTATTCAAGGTTGCAGAACCCTAAATTGTAGCTGTGGCTGACTCCATTGTGCAGATTTTTGAAATTTGCACAGGGCCCAGCCCTTGACTGTTAGATACAAGGATAAATAACAGTATGCTCGTCCCACATGTTCCACCCCATCACACACAAATGGGGCATAATTGTGAACACATAACCCTAGAAGCCTTTGTAGGTTTCTGTGAAGTGTGAGGCACACACACCTGGACTCTAGCTTCCACCTGTTGCATTCTCCAGATAGCATACAGAATGTGAGATTAAAAAGCCTCTTCTGTGCACTGTACTTGTCAAACTTCCTGCTCACTTGGCCCCAAACCTCTGCTGTCTGTACTATAACTCTATTGCTATATGGCACTAGACTGCTGTGGGCTATGGAAGCCTTGGAGGTCAGCTCAGCTGACTAGCTGCACTGTGTTATAGGGGGAAGGGAAACATCCCAGATATTTCCCTTTTTCCTCTGTGATCATACCTATCCCGAATCTAGAATAGAAGGGGGTATAAGCAGGAATAGAGAACTAATAGGTATCTTTGTGTACAAAATCCAGGCATTGATTGGGGTTGCAGCTGCACATGAATGTCCCCTTTTCCCTCTTGTGTGTGAATTAAACAGTATGTGGAGTTCTTCACAAAATCCCCAGATGCATTTCAGCCCAATTAGCATGTGATGCTGAACCCCGAGAGTGGCATTTGAAGTTCATGCGCACATAAGCACACTTACATATGCACAAACAGTGAAAGTGCAAGTCTGCTCACTTCTAGTCAGCTTCTGATCTATTTCAGTCACAGTTTCCCATTTGCAATTAGAGGAACTGCTAGTAATTAGATAGCATTGTTTCTTACACATACTAAAAAGTCAAGAGATTACAACAAACTGCTGCAAACTTTGGTTTGCTGTAGTTTACTGTCGTCATTTCAGCACTGTCTTGAGCACAGGGCACGATCGGACAAGTTAGTGCCATGACTGGAATATGTTGAGCATCTGACTCAGACAGCAGCAGTTCTCAAACTTTAGCAAACCCTTATTTTACCCTAAACTTTTCCCCTCAGACCCGCAAACCCTCCCCTCTCTTGCTGTGACTCAATGAGAACTGGACAGTTCTCTTTTCAAAATGCAAAAGGAAAACATGTCTATGTCCTATGGAGGCCTTTATAGGCCTCCTCGTGTCCTCCAAAAATATTGAAAACCCCTTTTCAGCTACTCTTCAAAAGCAGTATGATTCATGAGAGAACAAATTCAGACTGATTTAGGGGGATTTAAAAATCAGTTTTGCATTGAAAAGGCTGGTATGTAGATTAGGTTGATTTCCCCTACCACAGCCCCTAACATCTTGTTAGAAAATGAATTATGATCTCTATACTAAGGGGTTTATTTAACAGCAGAGGTAAATCTCTGAGAAAGGTACATTGTTTGTGATCTCTAGTGACTTATGTGTTCAAGCCTTGCTGAAAGTAAAAAAAAATGATAGTAGAACAAGTGAGTTAGTTAAATTAGTTTGCACAACATAGTATGTTACTTAACATGTATCTCCTCCTAGGCCTTCTCTCCTTTTTTCTCACTGCATTTAGAACTTAACACTTTGAGATTATTGGTTAGTGGTCTCTGTTGTTTACTTTACTTGATGTTTTTACTGGTAAATATTTTATTTTTAAGTGTACGTTTTTGATCTTATTGTTAGTTACGTTGGCCTTTTTGGCTGAAAGGCTGAATACAAAAGCACTAAATAAACAAAACATACTATGTGGAGTTAGCAGAAAATTCATGCCAAGAACGAAACCACATTTGTATCTTCTCAGTAGTTTGAAATATCTGATTTGTTATGCAAAGGCAGTTGATTCACCACAAATTCTGAAGCCTGGAGATACTGTAGGGGGAAAAGTTAAAATTAAGAAAAATCAGACTGAGTTAAAGGAAAAAAATAGATTTTCTTTTCAGGTTTTGAATACTGTATGTCAAAGCTTTAGCATAGTCTTTTGCATAAATCTAAACTA